TTTTGTTAAAAATTCACACTCTGAAATAATAAAGTTTATTTCTTCATCAGAAAATAAAAAAATTTTGAAAAAAGAATATGTATAATTCTTAATTGTAAATGTTTGTACACTTCTTAATTGCATTACTTAAAAATTGTATAGAATTATAGAAGTTTTATTAAAAGGAATAAAAATATACTAGTAACTAATTAAAACAATAATATAGCAATAATTTGATTCTGAAAAGTTTTATAAATAAGAGATATGAAAATTTACTTTCTTAATTTTTTAAGTTTCTTTTTTTATTAAAAATTTATTAAAAACGGAAAATATTAAAGTTTTATCATTTAAAAATTTTAACAAATAATATAAAAGAATATTTGGTAATATTTAATTGTGTCTATTTGAATGAATATTTTTAAACAATTAATTTTAAAAAATTCATAAAGTTTCTTTACGAAAACTTCTAAGAAAAAAAAAAAAAAAATAAAGAAGAATTCCTTTTTTCAATTTCATTTAAAAAAGAAAGTATTGAAGGTTATATCTATCAATTACAAATTTTACATATAAATAACTTGCAAAATGACATAAGAAAACAACTAATCTATTTAATCTATTTATTATTTTTACTTATTAATTTCAATTCCATTGAAAGATGAATTAAAATTATCGTATTAAAGATTAAAGTTGAAACTACAGCTATTTAAAAAAAATAATATAAACAAGTAAAAAATCTTTTAAATTAAGGAACAAAACAATAATTCTCCGTATTCAGGGATTTTCATAATGGAAGAAAATTGTTGACGATAATAAAACTCGTTCCATTGATTTACATTATTTGTTACACTTTAAACACGCGTAGATAGACTAAAATGACTAATAAAACTAACTATAAAAATAACTTCTCATCGAGAAGAGAGAGGTAAATAATATATCTCACATCGGAAGAAGAAGATTACAATGTTCAATTTTCAAAGAAGAATATATCCATTAAGAGGAATATCGTCCCCAAAGGAAAATAAGAGCAAACGAGTTTTTCATTATTTCTACCTAAGAATTCTCCACTATATAAGACGCCGGGAAAATTACACACCGAGAATAGTTTTATATCCACCTCGTGGAAAAACGGTTCCTGTTAACCGTCGAACGAACCTCGTTTCGAAGTGCTACGCGAAAAACTCTTTGTAACCGGTCGAGAGACTTGCAAGATTCCCAATAATAACTTTTACGAGGCTTGAAACTTTCTCAAAAAGAATGTTTCAGCTCGCTTGTGAATAAAAAAGAATAAGAGGGGAGGAGAAGAAAAATCGTATACGTATGGGAGAATAGAATAACGAGCATCGGTTATTCGTTTTGCAAGACGCGCGCAACATTCCACGCATCGCTCACTTCCGGTTAACAGGCCGATTCCTCCGTGAGCTATAAAATTCCTCCGATTTTTTTTCTTTTTTTTTTTTTTTTTGTATATTTCGTTACGATACATTCGAGGGAGAAAAATGTCCACTTAAAACAACTGTCAGAGTGGCATTTCGTTTTTTTTTTTTTCCCCTCTATTTTAATTTCGGCGATAAATGCGGTGGAAAAATTGAAATCGTGTTATCGTTTTGGAGATATTTCGGGATAACCGAATGTTTTGTTTTTGAAAAGGAAAGGAAAAATATTTTTAAAAATGGCGAATCGTAAAAATAACTTTTTCCATCGATCGAAATTAAATTATTTAAATTTATTCAAAGACGAAAGATAAATCGTGATACGTTTGCCTCAACTGTAACAAACGTCTAATTTAAATATTTTATTAAAAAAGAATAATAAATCTTAAAAATTAAAAATCGAAAAAAGCGAAAAAAAAAAACAGGGACGAAAGATCCTTAAAAATTGAGTACATCCGAATCTCTAACAAAGAATTTCAAATATTACAAAATTTACAATAGGTCAATCACGTTATTATTTGGAAAAAGGGAAATATAAAATTCGACCGGTTCAGAAATCCATAGAAAATTGGACGACAACGTTTCAATAAAAGAGGAACCAGTTTCACGATATAGAATATATTCTCTCAAAAATTTCCATTTCTCTCCATTCTTCTCGTGTCTTTCAATTCTCACCCCTTCAGACCACCTTTCATCCCTCGTCCAACTGACGACGGTACACCAAGCCCGGAAACAAACAGTCGAATAAATAAGCAGGAGCTGTCATACACGGATTGGACGAATTCTGTAGGGATAAATCTCAGGACTGGTTGATCCTCGGATATCACGCAAACATTGTTGGTCACAAGGATTATCGTTTAATCCTTA